CATTACATATATGATTTTCTGTTAAATATAAATATGAAGACACTCTTCCAAATTTACTGCCAGCATTGAAAATGCTATAATTTACGTTACGTGCACTATAGATTTTCAATACTGGCAGTTTTAGAACACAGTTTTTATGCTCTTACACTAGACGCTTGCTGCACGGTAAAATGAGACGCGGTGACCAATGAACACATTAGGAGCTATAAGCTTATTGCTACCGCATATTTTGCCGCAAAGCAAGCGTTTCCGCGTCCAGTGTACAGTGTACCATTAGTCCGCAAACACAATAGAGTAATAAGCCTTACGCATGGTCTACAATGGCAGTAGTGGATAAAGTTGTAACAAATTGACTAATCACAGTTGAATGTGAGAAGAATAATTCACTATAATTGGTCAATTCTTTAAGGCTTTACTACTCTATTGTGTTTGCGAATCGGTTGTTCCATCTTTTAATAAATTTTACCTGTGAGGTAAATCTGGCAATCCACGCATGTGATGGTAATCTTGCTATTTACCCGCAGGTAAACTTTACCACAAGGTGAAATAATCGATCCTTAAAGGTTTGTTTGCGTCGAAAGCTCCAACATGCTCCAACATGCTTCTACCATAATTCCTACTCACTCTATCAAGCACGTTGGAGTGAGTAACAGCTATAATGTATATGGGAATATGTTGGAGCTTTAATGCATATTGGGATATGTTGGAATATGTTGCGACGTAAACAAATCTTAAGCTATAAGTTAATTCTTTAATGGCTGCGATCGTATTGAAGAATTTTACAACAGTTGCAAAGCTTTTTCTACTGAATGCAGCCAATTACAGAAGCCATGTGCCATGTTCTCGGCGATAACGATTTTGTGGAAGGGGGGGGTGACAAATTTCCTAACCTCAATAGTCGTCAACTTTAACGCTTAATATCTCGATTCGTGGGACGAAATATATTTTACTATCTTAGAGTCTTTCATGCAAAAACGCTTTGAATAAACATAATTTCATTGAAATTGAGGTGAGGAGCGTTTTCTAAATAATTACCTGTTATTTTGTGTATAGTAGTACCCTTACGCGTAATTATTTGTTTCGCGAAATATATCACCGCGTTTTTCTGTCAGATTCTTTCGCTTTGAATGAATACTAGTTGAATGTATATTTAGTATATTTTTATTGAATAAGTTAATAAGATATATTTTTATTAAATAAGTAATAAGATATAAAAAATATATATGCGCTCTCGAGATTCTAACAACAAATTCGTATAAATAATTGGTGAGAGAACTAAAAACGCAGTTCTCGTTGCGAAATGAAAAAAATCTTACATAAGTCGTGTGTACAATCCTCAACTATTTTTATTAAGACTTGAAGCGAGGAAGCAATTCTAAATAATTCGTTTTTATTGTGAGACTGAACAATAATAATGTTCATAACTTTCATTTTTCAGTTATTATGGCTACCCCAATGGTAATATCTAATATTCTTGGAATTGACAGAGTAAACATGAATGGTAAAACAATTTTAATCAAAGAGCGACATGGTACTAATGCAAATTTCTTGGTGAATGCCATTTTATTACATGCATTGAAAAAGATGGATGCCGCTGTTTGCCTTGTTCTTTGTCATAATACTCTTGGTCATTATCATAACATTGGCATGAAATTTGGCTACAATCTTCTTAATTTGAAAGAAAAGGGCCAGATTACTGTTGTTGAACCAATGAAAATTATAGCCAGCAATATCACTGATATGTATAAAGGTTTTACAAATAGAACAGAAACAGTAATTCCAGATGTCACTTTTACAGGACATGTAGATTTTGCACATAGATTTTTTGTATGTGTCAAAGAAAAGTATGATGAAGCAACAAGATTTACTGAATCTGTTGTCCTTATTATCGACGATATAAATCATCTCCTTAATCTGGGTCTTAGTTTACGTGATACTATGTATTTTATAAGATACTTAAGATCGTTTATATCATTATATCCCTTGTCGCAGCTTTGTATTCTTGCACATATATATCAAGAAAATCTTCAAACGCAGAATGCACAAACTTCAAATGCAGATATTATTGCTAATGCCTTAAAATATATGACACATCTGTGTGTTACAACACAACCATTCAAGACAGGACATTCTAGTGATGCATCCGGTAAACTAACTGTCTATTGGAAGACAGATTCTATTAGATCTAAATATTATTGGTTAGAGAAAACAACACATCTGTTTAAATTGTTGGATTGGCAAGTAAAGATTTGTGTACCTGGTGCAATGTCTATTCTGTTATAAATAATAACTTTATATTGCTGTAATGTGTTTTTAGTTTTTGATAATCGATTTTTATGTACTTCTGATATTTATAGTTACTATAGAAGTAGTAAAAAAAATTAAAATTGGATACCTAATGTTTTTCCTACATTAATTTAACATGCTTCTTTTTCTCTATTTCTCATAAAAAAAAAATATTTTCAGTTATAAGTTATGCAAGTCAGATATTTATCCTATTTCTTTTTATAAAAATTTATTATGTTAAATGAAATGAAAAATTGTATAATTTTAATGGAATTATACTTTATTTTCATATATTTTTATATGAAATATAAAATATTTTATAAACTATTAATTTTTTACTATATTTTTATATGCAAAATAAATTATTAAAGGAAATTCATAAAAAAGATTGTATAATTTTATTTTAAGAATTGAGATATCATTTTTCTTTGCTTAAAGAGATATTTTTGCCTGTCACTTAAAAGGCTACAACAAATTATAAAAATTGTAACAATTTATCGTACTTTAATAATTTCAAAAAAATATGTAACGTATAATAATTATGCAGCAGAGAGATGCTGCTTTAATATTCTTTTCCTTGACTTATGTTGTCATGTTGTCAAGTTCATGATATTGAGTGATTTCCAATAAGGTTTTAACTGTCGTTCGTTGTGTTATGTTAAAATGTTATTAACAAAACAATTTTTTAAAATAGTAATATTTTAAATTTCGTTTTATTATATATCCTGCTATATGATTTACAAAATGCTCTTTTATACTTTTAATACTCTTTTAAATGAGATAATAACTCATGAAAATTAGATTTTTTTGGAGATAAAATTGCCTTAAAAAATTTATTTGCGGAAAGTTTGAAATGATGTATTATACAATATATTAAAAGTCCTAACCGCCAGCGGAAATTTCCACTTAGAAAATTTTTCAACTTTAAGAAATTAATAAAAAATGCTATTTTTTTTTAATATTCTTAGAAAATATCTATTTTATCGAAAGATTATAAGAAAAAAAGTTATATAAAATTACGAACAATTTCGTTTTTTTTTTTAAGGTTGTATGATCAATATTTTCCATAATAGAATTTTTTTAAGAATGTTGTTTTTGGTTATTTCGAGATTGAAATGATTTTTCACATTTTTTAAGTAAATATCTCGGATCTGGCTACTTTTACGTACAAAATACTTCTTATGAAAATTGTAAGGAATTACTGAATTCTTTACAAAATCGTTTTTTTTTTTATTGATTCTGACTAATAGTTTCCGAGATATGATATGATTTTAAGAATATTTCCTTTTATTTTTGAACAAAACTTATTTTTTAAAGTTTTATATAAGTATCTCAGATTCGGCTATTTCTATGTAAAAAGTATTTATTATCAAATCGAAAAATTTTTCAATTCCTTAAATTATTTTTTATTGAATCTTGTACGATGAAAATAGTTGCTGAGATATAAATAAATTTTCTCAAATTATAATACATTTTGTAACAACTTCAATTTTGTTCGCGTAGCTCACCGGAAATGTTTGATATCAGTGTATAAAATAGGTTCGTGATTTCGGGAGATGAAATGCAAATACAATAAATCGAAATCGAGTTTAATGTTGTGGTCAAAGAAAATATCATGTATTTAAGTGTAAGCAATACAATACAGTTGTGTGTGTATGAGTATATGTATACTGCCTCAGATTATTCCTATCGATGCAACGGGTTCAGGATATGCCGGTCGGTTGTTGTTGAGAACTCTCGTGGCAGAGTACCCGAGTCGAAATTTAAAACTTACTTTAAATCTTAAATGCTTACTTGTTCTTCATTAGTGCTTCTTAATCTGCACATCTTTTTTTAAACATCCTAATTTCTTTCTTTTGCCTCTATTTTAATCTTATTAGTTCTACTGAATTTAAATTTAAGTTTCTATTAAGGCTGCTAGTCCTATAACTCCTATCTTTGGTCCCACGACATAAGTTTACTTTTCACCTATTTTGAGTATTCAAGACTTATCAAATATATATTTAGATTTATCAAAATATATTTTTTATTTACTATTAATATAGTTATTTCAATTACATTAA